ATTGCCTGTTCCCTAAAGATGTAATAACACAAATTATTAGTTTTTCAGGCGACTTCGAAATACTTATTAGTAAACTATTAAAAATTGGATATAGTCAAAGTTATAATGGCAAACTCAATCGATTTTTGTTGAAGTAAGATTTTTCAGAGTCATGGTATTTACACAGAAGGAAGAAGTGAAAGCAAAAGATATTACTATTCATAATCAATATAGAATATAAAAGAAATGACTCAAATAGAAATTAGTTCAAAACTTTCTTATCTTAATACAATCAATTTTTATAGCAATTTCTGAAGAATTATGTTCAAATAAGACCTTAGACTTGCCTAATCATGTTTAAAAAATAGTCAATATCTGAGAACAAAGTTCTGACACTGATATCCATATTGTCTTTTTCTTAATGCATCGGTATATAAATGGAAAAAAAAATTCTTGTAAGTTTTTCATTAACACGTTCGATAACTCAGTGTGTACAATTATGATTTTCATTTTAGGAAGAATGGTCGCATTATTTTTATCTTATTCAATTTAATCGTAATATTAAAGACCTTCAGTTTCATGGTGGTGTTATGTCAGAGTGATTGCTCATTTCATCCAGAATCATACCCAACTCTACTTGTTCAAGAATTTCGGCATTGTTATTAGGCAGATTTGATGCAGTAGATTGACTACAAGTTTGAGCGAGATCTTTTTTTTTTCTTTCGATTTCAGCTTTTGTGTCAATATAAGTCACTTGATAACCCTAAACATCACAAGACAACGCTTGATCAGCATGGAAAACATTGTAACTATTGTTATACGTTACGGCTTCAGTCAATCGCTTTTTCTGCAATCTAGTTTTCGATTCTTTTTTATTATCTTATCTACGTGTACTCAAACTGATTGGTGCCCAAGTGAACAAAAGAAGGGATAAATTACTAGTCTTTTTTCTAGTCATGTCGACCCGTCATACCCGGTCTTTGTCTCAAATTCGACTAGGATATGACTAGTCCGGAAGTTTTGGGCGTCATGAGGCCCCGTCTAAATCACATGATTGACGGGCGACATTATACGTGTTTAGTCTAGTCTTTTTTTTTTGAGAAAGACTCGTCCAGGACTGGGCTGAAGTCGCTTGATGCAGAACGTTATTATCTAATGTGCAGACTAGTCCTAGACGAGGACTTTTTGAGACAAAGACTAGTCAGGACGGACGACAGCGACGCCCGTCCAAAATGAGTTTAAAACCGAAAAAGTAAGGACATCAGGGACGGTACATAGAACAAGTTGCAGTCTTGTGTGTAGTGGACGAGTCCGGACTAGTCAAAATGGAAATATGTAAGGATGAAGATTAGGTTCGAACATGCATACAATGTATTACTTACCCATCGCTTAGACCATTGAGCCATGTGATCAAGAAATTAGCTTCTACATGGTCATAATCATTCTAAGATGCTATTTAATACAATTTAAAGTTTTTTATGTTCACATTTAAATAAAAATTATTTTTTACTGAATACGACATTATTTGGGCAACATTAAAAAAATAACTTCAAAAAAATTTGTCTATTTTTTGGAAAAATGTCTTTTGATTATCATTATCTAGGAACAATTAGTTGTATTTAGAAAAATATAAATTTTAAATGTAAAAATAAAAAAGCTATTTATATTCAAAAGAAACTATTTTTCCATATGATGGTTTAGTTTTAAATTAAAATGATCCTATCTCAACTAGCAATTAAATTAACTTTGCTTAATTTAAATATACCCAGGTTAAAGAATCCCGTGACCCGGAGTCCGATCCGGATTTTATCGGATTTTGTCGGACTCCGATGGCTCAACTTCGTCCTGGGTATTCTTAAATTTAAAATTATTAGAATATTCATATTTAAAATAAAATAACATAAAATTATGTTATAAACAAATTAAAATTATTCTTCAGTTTTTTTAAAATATAGTACATCTAATAATTTCAAAAAATATAAATTAACATTCCTCGCTACGAGTAAATATTGTTCATTGTACGTACTCCTACTTTTTTTGTTGGTTCCGATATACTCTTACATTTTCAACATATGAAAATACAAAATATAATAAGATATATGAAGACAGGAATGCACAGAGCATATTATCTATTCTTGACCTCGTTGTTGATTATAGCAGACTCTCTGATTGTCATTCTACCTAGAGAAATATTTATAATATCTTGGCGAGCGACATAGTTTTAATATGAAAAAATGCGTCTTATTAATTACCGTAATCATAATATAATAGATCAATTTTGATCCTCAATCCAGGAAGATTTGAATACAAGACAGGCAATAAAACGATTGTTATCCTATTATCTAGTTCATAGACTAAATGTATTTGATATTATCCATTGATTATTTTTAACAAACGATATAGATATTGAAAAGTTTTTCTACTTGCATTCTTACTTTCATTATTGATCAGTTTAAACGAATTAACAAGATATATTTGATCCAAAAAAAGTGGGTTGTTTAGAGTTTTCAGACTAGTCAGACTAGAACGGGTGACATACTCTTTAAAAAAGGACTAGCCATGACGAGCGCAGACGACGCTTCGGACTAGTCTTGACTCTATGAAATACGTTTCAGACTAGTCAAAGTCATGTGACATCGACTGGTTTCTGATTGTCTAGTGGATGGACGAGAGTCAATTTGGTATCTTAGACTGTATAAATTGACGTCAGTCTATCTCAGTGTCCTAGTCTACCGTCAGGATGCCCGTCCGGTTTTGAATACTGTCGGGTTGAATGTTCGAATCTATCTTCATCCTCTTTTTTTAGTCTTCAGACTAGTCTGGACGGGTTCAAAGGACGAAATGGACCAGACATGACTGGGTTCAAGGACTTTCTGGACTAGTCTAGCCGTGTTTGAAGGACATTTCTCCAAAAGGTGACTAGTCATGACAGGTGTGCAAGACGTTTCAGACTAGACTTGACGGGCGTTGCGGACATTTTGGACTAGTTATGGACGCCATCTTTCGTTATTTTTTGCTCACTTGGGTATATGTATAGTTAATGAGAGATAAGAGTCACAGTTGAACTCTACTATTCATTTCTTTGCTATTTTCGTCGCACGAGATCTAGCTCGACTTCTTTGCTGTTGCTGCTGCTGTTTTGTGACAATAACATTTTTTAATTTTGTTTTACTCACTGTGGAGAAGGTAGAACTGACAGTTGATTTTGACAAAGAAAAAGTAGATAGCACAGTCTGTTTCGAAGGGTGTGGGTGTGGGTGTGAGTTGATCTTCTATCAACCCACACCCACACTCTCAAGATAGTTCTTTGGTGCTGATCTATTTTCATCATCAATAATCAAACAAAAAGTGTCATTTATTATGAATATTGTTATATCGGTATTGCCATTTGTCTATGGTATTATCAATAATCTTTTTTTCGTTTGTTACATTTTGAAGACTAAAATCAAGATCAAATGAAGTTGGACATTATCTTTTTATCGATAATATTGTTTCATAATTGTTTCTTGTATTTCTGATTAGTCAGCATACATGTAAAACATTTATATCAAGCTAATTTCTTAGACCTTACAAACATTCATTCATGATTTGCGAACAAAGATCAATAAAACATTTCGTGAGTTCATATTCGGAAAAAGCAAAAAATTATAAGCACTACTAAATGCTTTAACTCTCACTAATTGCGTGTTATGGACTGAAAAATGAGCAAATATTTTGTATGAATACTTTTTCACAGGAGTTATTTCTCCAGCAAAATATTTAGACATCAAATGAACTTTGAAGTTTAGCATCAGCATTATTAGCAGATGTCGAAATCCATACTGTATAAGTACCACGAGCAATAGCCCATCGTTGATTTACAACATTCCAATAAGAAATGTCCTTTTGTGTTAATATTAATGATACTTGCTTCGATTCACCTACTGCTAAGTATACTCTTTCGAAACCTCGTAATACTTTTGGTGGTTCTTCGGCTTCAGCAGGAAATCCAAGATATAGTTGAGGTACTTCTGAACCATAGACTTTACCAACATTGGTAATTACAAATGTGATTTCATAGACAGGCTCATAAAATCTTGAAATACCAATGTTAACATAGGATCTTGTTCGGCGTTGTCGATATTGTGATGAAGCAGTATGCTGACCTTCTTCAGCTTTTAAAATATTCAACTGAGAGAAAGAGAATGTTGTATATGAAAGACCATATCCGAAATGATATCGCGGTGTGATGTGATATTTATCAAAGTGACGATAATCTAAGAAAACACCTTCCTTATAATTCGAATTCTCAGTTAGACTAATATCAGTGCCATAATCAGATTCGTGTTTAGCCAAAGTAAAAACAAGTTTGCCTCCTGGATTGTAATCACCAAAGAGTACATCAATAAGAGCTGGTCCATATTCTGATCCAGGCAAACCTGACCAAACGACACCCACGACATGAGGATGATCAATCCATGCTTCAAGATTAAGTTGTGAAACACTATTGACAATGACAATAGTTTGAGCACATCCTGCAGCAACAATGCTAACAAGTAAATCACCATTATCTGCAGCATGAAGATCTAATCTATCGAACCCTTCGGAAGAGAAAGCACTAATGAAAACAAGACATTTAGCATTAGTGAAGCCATGAGATTTGAACGAGGCATTAATAACATTAATATCCAACTGGTTCGTGATATATCGAATTTGCAGATGAGACTTCCGAGCTTTGGATAAAAGTGAAGTGAGAGGATCTACAGCGTATGTTGATTCAACATAGCCAGAACCTCCACCTTGATATAATGCTCCTCCAAGCTGTAAAAAACCGCTGTCTCCGAAACCGTGTTTAGATCGACTTGCAGCTTCGCCATAAACAAGAAAGGAATAATTTGTAGTTACATTAAATGGCAAAACATTATTGATATTTTTCAGTAAAATAATACCTGCCATACCAATTTGACGATTAATCTTGTAATGATCTCCAATCGCATCTCGATCTAAATCGAGCGTCGGATATCCTTGATCTTGTCCAAGAAGATAATAAGGTGCTAATAATCGAGTAATCATATCATCGATTCTGGCTTCTGGAATAGTTCCCTTTTGAACAGCTGGTACAAGTGCAATACCCATCAGTCCATCACTACCAGGCATATCTATATCTAAGCCGCCTAAAACCGATTCAATGCCAGTTTTTGTTGCACCCCAATCAGACATGACATTGCCCTGAAATTCAAGTTCTTCTTTCAACAGTTCATTTAAAGTTCTCTTATTTTGACAAGCTGGTGTACCATTGACTCGATTATATGAACACATAACCGAACCAACACCAGCAGCAACACTCGATGCAAATGGCCAAAGATAAATTTCATGCATAGTTTTATCATCAAGATTGGCTGAATAGGCCACATAATTAATCATATCTG